ATGTTATTGCTCAACATAAAATTAAAATTTGACTATAATCATATTTAATATTAAATAACTTATACACACACAAGCGCGCACACACACACACATTGATTAACTTTAATAATCTAATCCTAGCTTTAATTATTAGTTTCTAGTTTCTCGTTTCATTTAATTAAACATTTAGTTTAATTCACTAATATTAATCATGAAACTTTTCATTATCATTAATGGCAACATAATTTTTAAAAAATAGTATCTTGTAATTATCAACATTTTATATTAAAAAATTCATTAAGCAAAATATTCTAAACTTATTACCATGCTCAAGCCTCGTCCTCATTCAACCTCACGCACAGGAGTCCTCTGGCTCGCTCGAGAAAGCCTCCTTGCCTCTCACTTCGTCCGAGAAAATTCATAAGTTGGAAGCTACTCAAGCGCACAATAAATTTCATGTTCGTATCGATCATAATTAAACTTCGTAACATTGTCAAAGCAAGCCCGTGGAAGCACCTCTGCCACTATATCGTTATCGGTTTGTTGATCCTACCACCAGTAAAACTTATGTTAGTGCCGACGTCTCTTCTTTTGAAAATGTCTCATTCTTCATTAACACTGCGTTAAGTGTGGGGCAGCTTGATTTTTTGGACAATGTTTCTTTTTTCGACTTCGGTAAACATTTCTCCTACTCCTACAACCACTATTTTCGGTGCACCTTTGGCACCGCTGGATTCGCCACCAGACGGCCAACCCCACTACACCCACCTCTCTGTGTCTATGCTCTTTTACAAAACCCTCTGTTGAGATGCATCTCAATGCCCTTACCGTCGAGCTCGTTGCCCCACTACAGGTTCTGGAGTCTGCTTCGACCAACGAACCCAGTACGACGCTGTTTCTACCTACGGGGGTCACTCTTGATCCGAGTGAATATTTTCATCTCCTTGTTGAGTTATGCCAGCATGTACGATCATGCACTCTTCGACCCCTTTATCACATGATAAAATATGTGTCGTTTCACAACCTATCTCTGTCTTACAAAGCATTTACCAAATCCTTGGCGGATTGTTGTCTCCTATCCACAATTGAGGCGGCTTTGGTTGACCCGTCTTGGAAGGTTGTTGTTATGGACAAGATGAATGCCCTTCGACACAACCATACTTGAGATGTGGTTGATCTCCCTTCTGGAAAGAAAGTGGTGGGTTATCGGTGGATTTTTAACACCAAATCTAACTTCGGTTGCTAAACTAAATACCATTCAGGTCAGGTTATTCCTAGACGTGAATCTAGATTGGCCTTTTGTTTAGTTGGGCATCAGGAATGCTTTTCTTAATGACAATCTTACTAAGGAGGCTTATGTGTCTCTCTCATCAAGATTTGATTTAACTTCTTTTGCGGACAAGTGTGTTGATTGTGGAATTCCCTCTATGAACTTAAACGATCCCACGGGCCTGCTTTGACAATGTTACGAAGTTGTAGAGAGCCATGATTTCTTTGAGGCTCAATCTGATCATACTTGGTTTTTTTGCCATTCGTCCGGTGACCGTATAATCATTCTTATCTTATATGTCGACGATATTGTGCTCACGGGTAACGATCTATCAGCCTTAGAGTCTCTCAAGGCCATCATCGTCATGTTTTTTGAGATGAAAGACTTGGAAGACTTGGGTTCTCTTTGGTATTTTTTAGGCATGAAAGTAGCTTGGTTCTCTTGAGGCATTTGTCTTTCTTAGCGCAAATATGTGATGGATTTATTGATCGAGTCTAATCTTCTTTGCAACCCAGTAACTGTTCCGATGGATCCCAATGAGAAATTGTTTGGAGTTCTGAATGTCGTTTTGGTTAACAAAACACACTGACAACGCCTCATGAGTCAACTCATTTAGCTTGCTCATACACGCCTCAACATTTGTCACGTCATTATTTTCATAAGTCAGTTTATTCAAGAACCCTACGAGCAACTTCTCATCATCGTCCATCTGACCCTCCACTACCTAAAAGGCACACCAGACTCGGGTTTGTTGTTCACTCATTACACCTCTCCCTTGGTTGTGGTTTATACAAATGCTGATTAGGATGGGTTTGTCCATGATCGACGATTTATCTCTAGTTATTACTCCTTCGTACGGGACTTGCCACTTAAAAAAGTAAAAAAACTATCTGTTGTTGCCCGTAGTAGTGCTGAAGTTGGGTTTCACTTTGTCTTTGGGTATGTGTGAAGCTCTTTGGTTGCGCATCATGTATCGCGAGTTACGAATGCTAGTCACCGTTCCTCTGCAGCTTTTTTGTGACAATAAAATCGTCATTAATATTGCTCATAATCCAGTGATGTGGGGCTATCAGACGTAAGCTCCTTGGGTGACTGAACCAAATGGTTCAACAGGGAGGCTGGATCGGTCGCCCAAGCTATGGAACGCGACTTACCGCCCTCCCCTTTCCCTTCATTTGTCTGATTCCTACATATTCTATTTTCCTTCATTTTCTGTCTTTCCTATTTTCCTATTTGTTTATAATATTTTTTTCTTATTCTACTACTTATTCTATTTTTTAATACTCATTATTTATGTGTTGTTTGCTTAGGTTAGGGGGTTTTTTATTGTCTTTTGAGTTTAGAGTTTTGCCTTTGATGCTTTCCCCTTCCGAGGGTTATATCCGATGATGAGAAGGTGCTCCGGCTGTAATTCGTTAGAGATGGTGACTATCTCTGCCATTGTCCCACCTTCCTGCTACCACTAGTGAACCATAGCAGCCACAACAAGATGTCGACCCTCCTCCAGGCGATCTTAGCAAGCTGCTGACCCTCCAACAGCTCTTAGCAAGCTGCTGACCCTCCAGCGACTCCCAATAGGTCGATGATCCCTTTCCAACACCTCAGGTGCCCGCTGCCTTTCATCTTCAGTCTCTTTTGGGCGGTTGCTAGCATTGCTACTTCCTTCGACCAACTTTCAGCAGCCCACCAAGCACTTCCAGCACTTGGTCAATTTGTCGTCGACTTTTTTCTGCACCCTTCAGCGGGTCGCCAGTTATCTTCAGCCTCTTCCGAGCAACCACCAACATTGTTGTTTCCTTCAGCTACCTTCCAGCAACCTGCAAACCGCCTCGACACCCATTTTGCTGTCGCCAATGCCTTCTAGTTGTCGCTGACTATTCCTTGCACCTCCCCAACAAGTCATCGACCCAGCCCTGCCAGCACCTACAGTTCCACTCAAGGCACCTTCAGACAGCCACCCGCACTTGCTTCCCCCCTCCAATGTTGCATCCTCCTCTGCCCTTCGTCTTCCAGCAGCCAGACGTGCCTGCCGCTCCTTATGCTTACAGTCACGGGTCGCACCCACCTCACTGTTGATGTCTGCATATATTCTTCTTAGGCCATAGCTCTATCTTGCTAGTCTTGTTTTGATTATCTTGTTTTCATCGTTGTTAGAGTCTTGATTGTACTTCTAGTTGTTTTATAAAATTTGCTTTAGTCGTTGTTGATTAACTCCGGTATCATCCAGCCTAAGATGATCGTACCAAACATGTGGAAATTGACCATTACTTTATCAAGGAAAAACTTGATTTTGGGGAGATTTGTATTCAGTTTGTCTCATTTGCTGGTCAACTGGCTGATATTCTCACAAAGAATCTTCATTGTCTTTTGATGAATTCAAGTCCTAGTTGAACATGATTGGCATCTATGCTTCAACTTGAGGGGGAGTGTTAGAAGTTATATTAGAATTTTATTTATTTCTTGTCATTTCATGTTTATTTTCTGTTATTTACTATTTATGTATTTTCTTTTATTTCTGACTATTTATAGGAGTTTTTGTTTTTAGTTGTGTTCTTAAAGATATGAGTGTTATTTCTTTCTTAAGTTAGGATTCTAGTAATGCGTATTTAAGCCAACATTTCATATCAATAAATGTATTTTGCTAAGTTCTCCAAACCTACAATATGAATAAAGGTCCGACTCATGGCCTCTTGGGTATATTGACAATGACTGGACAAGATCATTGGATTACATGAAAAGCCAATGATTTTATGCATGCACACTTGGCTTCCTCTTTTGCATTTACAAAAAACAGCAGTTGTATAATCATCAGTTAAAAATATATATAGCTGCAACAATGATTACATGTCAAGTTATTGGGCTAAACCAAATACTTCTAGGTACAGGAGTGTCGCAAGGTGAAGTTATGGAGATCTATTGTGACATCAAACCGGCTATAGTAATGACAAAGAATCTCATATTTCACAGTCGGAAGTACACACACAGGCATCATGAATGACTTCATTAGAGAAGCAAAAGCAAACAAAGGGATTTAAGCTCTTTCACTGCAATACGAAAGAATGGCTGGCAGACATACTTATCAAAGCACCATCATGAGCAATATTTTAGCAACTACATGGCATAATCGAAGTTTTTGAAATGTGTGACTAGTAGTATTAGAAAGTGTTGCCCATTTCGTGTAGTCTAGAGTATGCTAGGACAGCTGATAATCAAGATTTTTTTGTGAACTTGACAAGAAGAAAAATGTCTGAAGATTTATAGATTAAAAAAAAAAAAAGAGTTTAGAGACCAAGTAGCCTATAAATAGACATATCTTCTGTGTGTGAAAAGCATAAGAACTTGAAATAAAAAGATACATCTTCTCCACCATATATTTCCCATTTTTATAAAACTTTTTTTCTTTATGCTCATTTCAACTTATACCAACACACAATATATGCTTATGATAATCAATTATTTATTTCACTAATTGGACCATCCTTTACAGTATTACTTGTATTCTTAATGTATGCTCGATTCTTTTGTTTTTAAAGTTCTTGAACTTTGGTGTTATACTAATTTTTATGATCAAGTTTAAGGGGAATGGCCTTTGATTTTCCGATTAGATGTTACATGATTAAAAAATGTGCCAAAATAAAATTATGTTTAATACATATTTATTTGCACATATATGCACACACAAAGCTGCTCACCAACAAACAATGAATTTTCTTTCTCCACTAACCAGTTGATACACTGTTTATATCTGTAGTTCATGTTCCAAGGAAGTGAAGAAAATGAGAATCTTCATATTTCTTGCAATCTTTCATGTGACTGTTCTGATTATCTTTTAGGTATGTTTTTTCCAGTTCACTGAGCATTATATATTGCAATTTAATTTTTTTTAGTGCATCCTTATTTTCTATATTTGTATGTTTATGTTTATGTTTCCTATTTTGGACATTTAAAGGTTTTCTCTGCAGAAAATTCCCTGGATCATCAATCAAACAGTGAAGCAACGTTTGGAAATATGGAATATGCGGGTCAGATCCAATGCATGGATAGTGGTGTGGATGAGGTTGAGCCAGACTACATTTCCAAAACATTTACCGTTGCCTCGTTGATCCAAACAACGGCTCCAGATTCTACAAAAGTTCGAAGTCAAGATGCCTTACACACTGCATTTTGTCGAAATACCCCTTTAGAAGCCCAAAAATGGCGCAATCATGAATTATTGTTTGACGAGCAGAAATTAACTGCATTGGATAACGTCTCTGACCTGATGGAGAGCGCATTTCTTTACAGCGAAAATGAAGACGAAATGATATTAGTTCCTCAAAATGGAATGACTGCTAGCTCTTTTGTAAGTATGCCACACTCTGGGGCTCTGGTGTCAGGTCCGGCAAAGAATGAACTTCCATATGAGGATGGCCAAGCTGCTGTTAGTCAAGGAGCTCATAAAGTTTCAGGATCAACAAATGTTTCTGTTATAAGTAGCAAGAGATTACGGAAGCCTACCAGACGATACATTGAGGAAACATCAGAAATCAAGCCCAGGTGCTCCTATGACAGATTTAAGATGTCTATCATCTGCTCCGAAGAAAAGCTTATTTATGCAAGAACGGAAAGGAAGAATTGCTGGAGTGGTGCAGTGCAGCTACTTTATCATGACTATCCTGGTAGGGCGCATTCTTTGAGGGGTTGCCGAAGAAATAGCAGCAAAAAATTGGTGAGTCATTATTTTCTTTTATGCCTAGTAATTTCTTTAAGTTTTGAGTTTCCGGTAGTTCTGTTTTCGGTGTTTATAGCAAAATAATACTTGCTTGGTTTATTGCACACCTTGGTGCTATTTTATCTGATAATTTTGTCTTATAATTGCTATTATGTGTTGGTAGACGATTACCCAAACTTGGAGAAGCCTGACTATGGAAATTTTTTTTTTGGAGTATCGGTACTACATAGGATCTGATTTTGCTTGTTTTTAATTTTTTTGGTTCTGAAAAAAAATACAAATTTGCTTGTTTTTAAGAATACTAAAAAAATATAAAAATTATTTCAAGTGTTTTTAAAAATAGCTAAATATGTTTTAGTACAAGTTAAAATATAAAGAAACAAAGTAAAAATGTAAACTAAAATCAGAAGTGATCCCAAAAAGCCCCGTAGTTCTTCTATCTTAGATTTTTGGATTTTTTGTGTTCATCTTTACCAATTCAGCACGACTTGTGATATATCGCTGCATTGCTGATCATAGTTATATTCAGGAGAATGATAGGAAGGGATACATTTCACCTTCAGAATCTGCAAAATTTTCTTGTGTTCAAGTCTCTGAAAAGCCATACGATGGATCTGATAAAGCTCCCGCAAGAATCAATAAGCCAAGGAAGCATAACAGGCAGTGGACACTTTCTGAGGTTGTTAGACTCGTCGATGGAGTTTCTCAACATGGAGTTGGCAGATGGACTGAAATAAAGAGACTCTTCTTCTCAACCTCTGCTTATAGAACTGCTGTGGACCTCAAGGTCCCTCATTTCTGTATCTGAAACTATAGCTTCTATAATAAATTTTTGGTGCAGTTGCATACACCACCCAATTCCTATATATTTACATATCTAACACCTAAACATTATTATTTCCATTTATCCAAATCTTTCATATCACATAAAAAAATACTCTTTTAAAGGGTGAAATACACATTTTCAAGTATAGGTAAGGTGTCATGTGAAAATTGAAGTGTAGGTGTTAGATATGTAAGTACATAATAATTAAGTGGTATGTATGTAGCTCTTCGTAGTTTTTTTTTAAATAATTTTTTCTCATTAAGAAAGTTCTTTGGATTTTGCAGGATAAATGGAGAAATCTTCTGAGGGCTAGTGTTGCAGGTCCAACAAACAGGAATCTGGTTAGTACACTAAAGAAAGAAATATTCAAAACCTGCTTTGTACATTCATAACATGGGCTTAAATAGGGTATTACAATATTTTATAAATAAACCCCTAGACTTTTTTAATATTGCATTTTTACCAATAGGACCCTAAATTATGTCCAATTCTCAACACTTCCTCTCAAGATGGGCAAAAGACATCCACTAAGCCCATCTTGCCAAATAACCAAGACAAATTGAATGAACTAAGTCCTTTGGTGAGGTAGTCAAACACTTGCTCTCCTTGCTCCCCAGTGGCTACATGACTTAGCTCTATTAGCCCGTTATCCAGCTTTTCCTTGAAGAATCTATCAATCTCTACATGTTTGGTTCTATCGTGTTGCGTTGGGTTGTTGGCAATGTTGATTGCTGACTTTATGTTACACCACAACTTCATTCGAGTTCCTTGGTCCACCTTGAGCTCGCCAACAAGACTCTCAGCCACATCATCTTGGCAACTCTTAAGGCCATGGCCTATACTCTACCTCTACTATTGAGCTCGCTATTACAGTCTGTTTCTTACTCTTCCAAGAGACTAAGTTCCCCCCTACGAACATGTAATATCCTGAAGTAGATATTCTGTCATCTGCACAACTTGCTCAGCCATTGTCGCAAAAGCCCTTAATGTCTACATGTCCCTGGTGCACTCTTCATGCACCTCATAATCTGATACACTGCATCTATACGTCTCTTTCTTGGATCATGCATTTAGTGGCTCACCACGTTCACTGCAAAAAAGATGTCGGGTCGAGTGTGACACAGATAGATTGGACGACCCACCAATCTCTGATACCTTATGATCATCCGATTCTCCTGTCTCTGTAGTCAGTTTGGCCTTCTAGTCGATTGGAGAGACTGCAAGTTTGTACCTCAACATTCTTGTTTCCATGAGGAGATTTATTACATATTTTCTCTGGGACAGAACCATCCCCTCAAGTCAACGGGTCACTTTAATTCCAAGAAAGTATCTGAGCTGTCCAAGATCCTTCACTTCTAATTCATTGTCCAATCTTACCTTTATTTAGGCAATTTATACATCATTATTGCTTGTGATAATGATGTCATTAACATACACAATAAGTATAGTGATGTGATCTTTATATTGTTGAAAGAATATCGTATGGTCTGCATTGATCTGTTGATATCGCATTCCCACCATAGTCTTCTTAAAATTGTCAAATCAGACTCGAGGAGACTGCTTCAAACCATAATGTGACTTCCTAAGCTTACACATTTTGTTGCCCACTGTTTGGACTATATTGAATCCTCACGGTATCTCCAAATATATCACCTCCAGTAACTCATCATAAAGAAATGCATTATTCACATCAAGTTGGTGTAACCTCCACCCACCATTCATTGTCAGAGAACCCAATGTCCTTACTTTGCTCGTTTTTGCTATAGTTGTAAACATTTTATCATAGTCAATGTCATATGTTTGATCGTACATTTTCACCCCAATCGTGCTTTGTACCACTATTATCTTTCCTTTTGGAGTTTGTTTCATTATCATGATCCATTTGCACCAAACTTTCTTTTTCCCACTGGTAGGGGCATTTTCTCCCATGTTCAATTTTTATCGAGAGCCCCAAGCTCTTCATGTATAGCCGCTTTCCACTTTGGATCCTTCTTGGACATACAGACGGTGTCAAAGATGCAATGAATGCTTTATGTAAAGTTGATATGTTAGAATATGAAAAAAAATTAGCAATATCATGTTCCCACCCAAGAGGATGTCCAACATTGCGGTGAGAGGTCCTCCTCAAAGTCGGAGGGGAGGTGTTGAGGGAGGAATCATGTCACCTTGAAGTTCTGAGTCGGAGGTGGATGGTGTAGGTGTCTCAAAGGTCAAGGAAAATCGAGACAAGGGAATAGTCGACACAAGTTGCACTGCAGACACCGTTCCCTCATTTTAATTTTTTACTTGTATACACCCCTAGCTCACCTTCAACTTGAATCTCATCACCTCTGGGTTTACTTTTCTTATTTTTAGATTCCGCAACTGATTCATGCCACACACCAGAGATGACATCACTTCCACGTTTATCACTATGACCATTGCTACTCACCCCCTTGCCTCATATCTTCAATATCTGGCGAGTCACTGAAGGGTGATGTCATCTCATGGGTGTAGTATGGTTCAAATTTTTTGAATGGCGTCTATGCTCATAAATAGTCTCTTCGCAATCGGGTTCCAGCAGACATGCTCCTATGGGTAGCAAAATAACATACGAACACACATTTTACAGCTTTGGGATTCCAGCTTCCTTACTGATGGTCTGTTGTGCTTCACAAAACATACACATCCAAACTTCTTCAATGGGAGGATCCCGGTATTTTTCATTTTCATTATCTGATAAGGAGAGTTTCAATCTAACACCCCCAATGACATCTTGTTGATCAATTAGGCAGATGTTAAAATTGCTTGCACCCATAAGTGCTTTGAGACATTCATTTTGATCATCATGCTCTGGGCAATCTCTAGAAGGTGTCTATTTTTTTCTCTCCATTTCATTGTGTCGGTGTGTATGGACATGTAGCTTGATGATGTATCCCTCGGGCTGACAAGTATTCTCCAAATGCTTTATTGGTATACTCCGTCCTTTTTTCAGACAACAATAACTTCACTCTTGTATCATATTGGGTCTGGATTGTCTTGTGAAAGTACTTAAAGCAGCAAATATATCACACTTATCTTTCATCAAATATTACCAAGTAACATGAGAAAACAATCAATAAAGGTGACAAAATATCGATACTCTTGTGTGGAACTTTTAGAACAAGACCCCTAAACATTCAAATGCATCAAGTCCAAAACACCAAAACTTCTATTCCCATAACTGATATAAAAGCTCCTAATAAGTTTACTAAACTCATAAGCATCACAAATTGGCTTTTGTTTATTTGTCTTTTCATATAAAGAAGGATACAATCGACTTAATAAACTAAAACAAGCGTGTCTCATGTGTTTGTGATGTAGCAGTAACACATCTTCCACATTCCTTCCAGATTCCTTCCAGATTCTCCTAGTGCAGCATTCTTTACTATGGACGTCAAAGTTGAGTTCTTCCCCCTCCTGATTCAAGTACCAAGATCCATTATGCTACGTTCCAATCCTAAGTGTCTGACCCGTCACTTTCTTGTGAGAAGAAGATATGAGTCAAAGCTGATCGCGCACTCGGAAGTTCAATCGGCTTAAGAGTGTAGCTTCATGCGACTCTCCTCTTGTATCATCGCAGCAATGGCCCATCCAGTGAAGGGTAGTTTCATGAGCTATGAAGACATATCTCCTCTAATCAAAAATCGGGTTCAGATGGGTGAGAAACTGCATAGTTCTCATATATGTAAGGATGTTTTCTTTCTTGCACTCCAGATCGCCACAACTCGACATTGGTGAGAAGTGATCAAGTTCTGCCAGTAGTCGCTCCAGCTTTATGGAGTACTCCTAAATCTATCTTATGCTGAATCTGGAACACCCTCATGTGGTTCTCTTCTCTAGCACAGATTTTCAGGTTCACTCATATGTTGCTTATCTTTCGAATGCTATTTACTGATGAGGCAATTGATGGAACCATCTAGTTGAATGGCTAAGTGTAAAGAAAGATATATGTAGTCCTTCACTCATCTCTCTCAACACAGTCACTATTTGACTCGACCCCATCATATATCCCTCTAGTCTCTTCACTACTAAAGTGTCATCGATTTGACATGACCAACTCATATATGTAGTTAGACCATCAAGTTTCAGATCCATAGGAGGGAGATCTAATTTCATCTATGTCGAAGTACGTGTTGAGGTAGTGGCTTCTGTCGAGATGCTAGTTCCCTGTATGAGCCCGACCCAAACTTTAAAAATCTCAGGATTTATCTTTATTAGAAGCTCTTATCCTTTAACTCTCGCACTATTTCCGTCTCCCGACATCTGCAGTCACAAGAATCCAAATCTAGATCACAGGAGAATTTGATCCTTCATATCCATACGCTACAAAACATTGCCATTGTCGGGTCCCAAGCCCCGTACATGAAAATTGGAGGGTAGTCGTGTGCTAGCATAAAATCTGTCAAAAAATTATGAAATGAATCTTTTAAATCCTTATGTAAATTCTAGGGTGTCACTTGGAAGCGACGCGTTGTATGACTTGAATACAGAAAAGTGTGTGAAATGACCGCTACATCGACTCCCAGATGTAGTGTGAAATAAGCAAGGATTCTCACATTATGGACTGATGCAGGTAAAGAAGTTAGTCTATGAAACTAATATTATAATAAAATATTGAAATATAGATATTCTGACATATAAATTAATAAAAATTAGTTGATATTACGATTCATAAAAAAATAAATATTTTATGTATTCAAGAAACTAAATGGATTAGAAAAAAGGCTAATGAGATTGATAGCTTGGGTTTTAAATATTGTTATTCAGGTAGGAGCCGTATTAGAAATTGTGTAGGAGTAATTATAGATAAGATTTTGAAAGATAATATTGTAAAAATTAATGAAATTTGAGATAAATTATAACACTTAAATTTTTTATTGATACTGAGATTTTTAATGTCTTAAGTGATTATTCTTCTCAAGTGGGTTTAAATATTTGTTCTAAAGAAAAATTTTGGAATGACCAAACACAATTATATAAATGATACCTTTTAAATAAAAAAATTTTATTGGAGGAGATTTAAATGGATATTTTGGCTGAGTGGTATAAGATTTTAGAAATATTCATGATGACTACGGTTTTGGAGTGATTAATGAAGAAGGTAGAACCATATTAGATTTTCTTTTAATGTGTGATTTTGCTATTGCTAATACTTTATTTAAAAAAGGAGATAAACATGTTATTATTAAAAAGTAAAACTAATAAATCACAAATTAATTATTTTCTTGTGAGAAGAATATATCGTCGAGAATGTAAAAATTGTAAGGTCATTCCAAGTGAAAATTTAAGTACCGATGTAAGTACCCAACATCGGTTGGATTATTAGTTTTTGATTTTAAGATTAAAAGTTGTAAGATAAAAAATACTAAGAATCATTGTCATAGAATTATATGGCGGTACCTAAAAGAAAATAAAATTAATTTTATGAGTAAATTTTAATGTTTCAAGAAATATTCATAAAGAAGCAAATTCTATGTTGGATAAAGTAACAAATACTATTAAACAAGTGACTAAAGATATACTTAGTGAATCAAAAGGAAAAATTTATATAAATAAAATTAGTTAGTGGTGGAATAATAATATGCAAGAAAATAGAAAATATATAAAGTGTTATAAAAATTTGTTTAAATATAAAAACTTGAATAATTGAGAAAAATATACGGTAGCCTGTAGGAAGTCTAAAAGAGCAATTTATGATGCTAAAAATTCTGTTTTGAGTGATGTTTATAATAGATTAAATGCTAAAAGGGTAAAAAGTATATCTATAAACTAACCAAACAAAGAGAAAAACAAAGAGAAAATAAAAAAAATTTAACTCAAATAAAGTGTATTAAAGATGAAAATCAAAAAATATTTTTCTTAGAAGTAGATATTCAACATAGGTGGGTAAACTATTTTAATAAACTTTTCAATGAAGTTTTTGAAAATAAGATCCACCTTAGTGATCTTAATATCATTAATAGTAATAAAATATTTTATTTTTATCATAATATTAGTAAAAAAAAAAGTTGAGGATGTTTCAAAGAAAACCAATGGTGAAAATTAGTAGGACTTGATTACATCTCAATTGAAGTGTGTAAATATTTAGGAGGTTGGATAGTTTCTTGACTTGCTAAACTCTTTAATATTATTTTAAATACTAAAAATAAGCCCGAGGAGTGGAGGAAGAGTATTTTGGTCATATTTTTAAGAGGAGAGGGGATGCACATGAGTTTTCAAATTATAGAGGAATTAAGTTGATGTGACACTTTAAAACTGTGAGAGAGATTTCCCATTAGTTAAGATAGGTTAAGACGTGATACAGAAATTTCTCATAATCAAGTTGGATTTATGTCGGGCAAGTCTATTATGGAATCTATGCATTTGTTGAGAGGTTTGATGCAGAAGTACAAAGAGAATAGGGGGGTCTAGATGTGTTCTTTATTGATTTAGAAAATACTTACGATAAGGTTCCAAAAGAAGTTCTTTGGAGAGTTCTAAAGAAGAAATGTGTTGATATGACTTATATTCAAGTCATTAAGGATATGTATATTAGTTTTGTTACTTGCGTTCGACAGGAGGATTGACCTAGTATTTTCCTATTTTAGTTGGATTATACCAGGGATCCACTTTAAGCCCATATCTTTTTGCTTTAGTTATGAATACTCTTACTAGACATTTATAGGAGGATGTACCTTGGTCTATGTTTTTCGTTGATGATATCCTTCTTGTGGATATGATTAAAGAAAGAGTTCATGAAAAATATGAATTATGGAGGTCTACATTGGAGTCTAAAGCCATTCGCTTGAGTAGAACTAAAATTGAATGCATTGAATATAATTTTAGTAGTAGTATCTCTAGTGGCAGAGTTGTAATTATATGTGATTAAATAATTAAAAGGTGTGACATTTTAGATATCTCAAGTCTGTTGTTCAAAGTGATGGGGATATAGATGGGTATGTTATTAGTGCAATTCTTGGTTGGTTGAAGTAATGCATCAGGCCTAATGTGTGATAGAGATGTACGGTTTAAACAGAAAGGAAAATTTTATAAGATGGTTTTGAGACCTGCAATGCTCTATGATGGAGAAAGTTAGCCTTTAGAAGAGAAGCATAAAGCAAAGTCAAGTGTTGCTGATATGAGAGTACATAGGTGGTTGAGTGGCTAGACACTTTTAGAGACAAAATGCAAAATGACTATATCTGTGATAGGGTTGGTGTATCTCTAATGGTGGACAATACTAGAGAGTTTCTTAGATGATTTGGTTACATTAAACGTCGATCATCCGATCATTTGGTTAGAAGAGTAGATGTTTTAGATTCGATTGATGTTAAGAAAGACAGAGGTAGTACTAAAAAAACTTGAGCATATTGTATAAAAAATGATCTTAATCTATTTGAATTAAATGATAATGACACGCAATAGGATGCAATGGAGAAAAAGGATTCATGTTGCCTGCCCCACTTAGTGGGATAAAGGCTTGTTGTTGTTGTATCTATACGCCGCAAACGCTACGTGGCCTCCATGATTAGCTCTAATAGTGACTGTATCGTGAGTATTTCATGTTGTAATCTTGTAGTTGTCATCACAGTTAGCTATAGTCTCGTCTGTCTCATGTGCTACCATCCCAGTTAGCTCTAACTGCATCGCAATTTTTCACGCCTTAATCCTGTGGTTATCATCTTAGTTAGTTGTAGTTGCATCTGTATTGCTAGCTGTTTTGATCGGTGGCTCTGTTCGTCGTGATCGCCCCTCTGCGCTAGATGGGAGCTTCGACTCTTTACGCGTACGCCGAACCAGAGACGGGTACGGTTTTGCTCTGATACTATAAAGAAAAAAATATTCAAAACCTATTTTATACATTCATAACATGGGATTAAACATGATATTACAGTATTTTATAAATAAACTCCTATACTTCTTCAATATTCCCTTTTTATCAGTAGGACCCTAAATAAGGTTCAATTCTCAACTTAGACCGTACTTTGTTTATATAATTGTATTTTTGTTTTTGGTAATAATAACCAGGGGTATTTACATAAATACCACTCAATTCTTATGTATTTACATATCTAACACCTTAATTTTGTTTTTTTGTAATTATACCACTCAAATCTTTCATATAATCATATCTATTTTAATTTCAAAAAAAAGTGAAGTACACCTTTTTCCTTTATAGTCAAGGTGGTGTGCATGTAAAAATTAAATTTTAGTTGATAGATATGTAAATCTTCCTAAAAATTATACTTACGGTTTTGACTTTTTTAATTCAAGGTTGAATCACAAAAGAAACAGGCTTCAGCTGCCGTGCCGCAGTCGATTCTGCAGCGAGTGAGAGATCTCTCTATCATTTACCCGTATCCCAGAAGCCGAAAGCCGAGAATTACAGCTCTGCCCAACATCATTCCACCCGGTTCAGTTAGTAAGTACTGATGATTCTTCCCATCGAAGAGAGGATTCAATTTCTTTTCTTTTTTGTTTCTTGTGTTGTTCTGCAAAATGTAAATAGCTAGTTCGCTTTCTTTCTTTTTTTTTTTTTTTTTTTTTTTTTTTTTTTATGTCTTACTTGTGCATATCCCTTGGCCTATACTGCACAAAATTTTGTGCAATTTTACACCCTTTTAGGGCAAAGGCTACAACATCTCTGTTTCATGTGAAACAAATTGATCACTTTGGCTATGATTTTGTGAGAGGTTTAGTTTATAATTAGGGGCTTTACATACATACCATTCAATTCCTATTTATTTACATCTCTAACATCTAAAATATGTTTAGAACATGTCACTCGAGTCTTTCATGTCATATAAGTGTCATTATTTTAAAATTTAAAAAGTGATGCACCTTTTCATGAATCGGTAAGATGACATGCATGTAAAATTTTATGTTTTGATATGAGGTATGTAAATTCGTAAGAATTGAGTGGTATGTATGTAAATCTTATTATATTTGTTCTGATATGTGCTGGAAATCTGTGCTGCTGTACGTGTAGGG